TTCATCTTTTCTGCCCTCTCTTTGATTATGGGAATATGTATTGGTATTACATTTTAGCTTATCTGCTGGCTTTTGGGTGCATATTTTCTTATTTTTTAGTTGTTGCTTAAGGATTATAACATGTAAATCCTACTTTTAACAAAGTTAAAATTTTACTAATTCAAGTAAAACCTTGAAACCTTAAGCTACATAAATCCTCTAACCCTTTGCCTTATATTTGTCATACGTGTTACATCTACATACATTAAACCCTACAGACAATATAATTTTTTTTTTGAGATGGAGTTTTGCTCTTGTCACCCAGACTGGAGTGCAATGGTGCGATCGTGGCTCACTGCAACCTCTGCCTCCTGGGTTCAAGTGATTCTCCTCCCCCAGCCTCCCGAGTAGCTGGGATTACAGGTGCCCATCACCACACCTGGCTAATTTTTGTATTTTTAGTAGAGACAGGGTTTCACCATAGTGGCCAGGCTGGTCTCTTGGCCAGGCTGGTCTTGAACTCCTGACCTCATGATCCACCCACTTCAGCCTCCCAAAGTGTTGGGATTACAGGCGTGAGCCACCGCGCTTGGCCTCTTTTTAAGAACTCTCTTTAGCACTTCTTATAGTGCAGGTCTGCTGGTGATGAGTCTTTTATTTATCCTTTTTTTTTCTTTTGAGACAGGGTCTCACTCTGTTCCCCAGGCTGGAGTGCAGTGGTGTGATCAGCCTTACTGTAACCTTGAACTCTTGGGCTCAGTAAATCCTCTTGCCTCAGCCTCCCAAATAATTAGGATACAGGTGCATGTTGCCATGCTTAGCTACTTTTAAAATTTTTTTGTAGTGATACGGGTTTTTATATTGCCCAGGCTAGTCATAAACTCCTGATCTGAAGCATTTCTCCTGCTTCAGCCTCCCAACGCACTAGGATTACAGGTATAAACCACCATGCCTAGCTTTGCTTCCATTTGTGATGAACATTTTTGCTGGGTATAGAATTCTGGGTAGTTATTTTTTTGTCTAGCACTTTAAATATGTTCTCCACTGTCTTCTGGCCTCTGTGGTTTCTGATGAGAAATTCACAGTTGTTCAAACCATTGTTCCATGTGTGAAATGTGTCGTTTTTCTCTGGTTGCCTTTATGAGTATTTCTTTATTTTTAATTTTAAGTTTGATGCTTAATTATGATGTATCTCAGTTTAGATAGTAGAGATTGTCCTGTTTAGGGCTTGCTGATCTTCTTGAACCTGTTTATTTATTTCACCAAATTTAAGAAGTTTTCAGTAATTTCTCCTTAATTATTCTTTATGACATTCATCTTTTTCTTCTCCATTTCAGAGACTCAGTTGATGAAAATGTCGGACTTTTTAATATTTACTCACAGATCTCTGAGGCTCTGTTCATTTTTCTCAATGTTTTCTTTCTCAGACTAGATCATGTCTGTTGAACTGTCTTTAACTTCACTGATTCTTTTCTCTGTCACCTCCATGTTGCTATTAAACTCATCCAATAGAAATGTTTACTTCATATATTTTATTTCTCAGTTCTAAAATTCCCATTTCCTTCTCTTTTACAGTGCCTGTTTATCTGCTGGAACTTTTTATGTTTTTTTAAATTTCAAGAGTGTTTACCTTTCCCTCAGGGAGTGTGGTTATATTACTGTTTCAAAATCCTTATCTATCATTATGCCATCTATGTCATTTCAGAGATTATTCTGTTTATCATCTTTTCCCTTGAATATTAGCCCCATATTCTGGTTCCTGGGATGTACAGCATGCTGATTCCCAGAGCATGTGGATATGTCACTTTACGCAGTAAAAGGGACCATCCAGATTTGATTAAGCAGGTTCTGAGGTGGGGAGATGACCCGAGTAGGTTCAGTGTAATCACAAGAATCCTTAAAAGCAGAGAACCTTTCTCACTGAGCCAGAGAAAGAGAGGTGACAACAGAGGGTCAGAAGGTGCTGTGTAGCTGGCCTTGGCCCTGAGCCAAGGCCAAGGTGTGGAGCGCCCACAGCCTCTCCAAGCTGGGAATGGCTGCGAGATGGCTCCCCCTAGACCTGCAGAAGGAGTGCAGCCTGGGGGCTCCTTGCTGTAGCCCACTGAGACTCATTTCAGGCTTCAGCCACGGGCCTGAAAGGAATGCGTTTGTGCTGTCGGAAGCTGTGAGTGTGCGGTAAGCACTGTAGTAGTAACAGGGAGCTAACCCAGAATCAAGCCGGACGCTTTCACCTGTGCCGTGAGACTCTGGGCCCTGCAACACCGTCTAGGGGATGCTGATTATTGTTTGTTTTGTCTTAGTTACAGCCAGCCCAGTAGCGATGTTCAGCTTGCAGGTTCTCTCTCCTGGGAGCCTTGTTTCCGTATGGGTTTGATTGTCAAAGCCTCTGCTGTGCTGGGTGGGCCGGCCCATGACAGGCAGCCGTTGGGGTCTCGGGCACCGGTTCAGGTCAGTGCAGCTCCAAGCGCTTTACACAGTGTCTCAGGTGTGTTTCACACCTGCAGCTTTGGGTGAGCCAGGACGCATGTCAGTTCATACGCAGAAGCGGGGTCCTGTCTCCTGCTCTCTCCTCTGTGGAGAGCCCCCACCCTGCTGCCTCCCAGGGACTCCTCCTGGTTTTCTGATGAGAAAGATGACGTTTCTCTTGGAGTTGCAGCTGCCATTCCTGCTGCATGGTTCTGTGCAACAGGCTTGCTGTCAGGGCAACGTGGTGAGAGAAAGGGAGGAAAAATATGAGGATTGCGCTCTCTTTGCACAGCAGGGGCCCATTGCTGGGGTCCTCCATCCACAGGGACGGATTTTCTCTCCAAGAGCTTATGTCCACACATACCCGTGCCACAGCAGCCACGGCAGCCACGAAGCAGCCACACAGCACATCCTCCACCTGCCTTTCACCTTGTCTGCTGAGGGATGAGGCACTATTGGAGGGTCTGGGGCAGGGGCCTGACCTCCTCAGCCTCTCCGGTGGCCTCTGACAGCCGCAGAGGTAATATTGGTAACACACAGCGGTGGTGGGGGTGGGGGTAGACACTGTTTTCTGAGTGTGATCATGGGCCCAGACGCCATATCTGCCAGACAGCATGTCAGTTTCCTGGGGCAGCCTTAACAATGACTGCAAACCACGTGGCTTGACCAACAGAGGTTACTCTTCATAGCTCTGGAGGCCAGAACCCAAAACCAGCGCCACTGGACTGCAAGCGAGGCATTGGCAGGATGGGTCGTTGCTGAAGGCCTTGGGGAGAGTGTACCCCATGCCCCCTCACTGGGTCCTTGCTGAAGGCCTTGGGGAGAGTGTACCCCATGCCCCTCATGTCTGGAATGTTGTTTGTTCCTGTGAATCTCTGCATCTCCTTGCTGAAGGCCTTGGGGAGAGTGTACCCCATGCCCCCTCGCTGGGTCCTTGCTGAAGGCCTTGGGGAGAGTGTACCCCATGCCCCCTCGCTGGGTCCTTGCTGAAGGCCTTGGGGAGAGTGTACCCCATGCCCCCTCGCTGGGTCCTTGCTGAAGGCCTTGGGGAGAGTGTACCCGATGCCCCTTGCGTCTGGAATGTTGTTTGTTCCTGTGAATCTCTGCATCTCCTTGCTGAAGGCTCTCGGGGAGGAGAGTGTACCCCATGCCCCCTCGCTGGGTCCTTGCTGAAGGCTCTTGGGGAGAGTGTACCCGATGCCCCTTGCGTCTGGAATGTTGTTCCTGTGGGTCTCTGCATCTCCTCAGCATGTCTGGGTGCAAATCCCCCTCTTATAAGGACAGCAGTCGTATTGAACTTAGGGCCACCCTAACCCAGTGTGACCTCATCTTGACTTCACGGCATCTGCCACTGTCCTGTGTCCAAATACAGGAAGGTCACATGCATGGGTGTGGAAGGAAATGAATTTTGGGGGGACACCGCTCAACTCAGTACCACTGTGCTTACCTCACAGCTTTATTGTACTGGAGTGGGGGAAGCTCAGGTTGAAAGAGCTGAGGGTTGGGGCCGAAACTCAGGCCTCCGCCACCTCCCAAACCCAAGCCCTAAACTGCTCTGTATGCAAAGCTCAGCACCGACTCCTCCTGGTGCTGTCCTAAGACCGTGGGGCTCATGGACTCACGCAGCCGTCGATGACCCTATGGGGAGGGTGCTGCCATGACCTCTGTTTATGCTTGGGGAAACTGAGGCTCTGTAACCTTGCACCTGACACACCCTAGTAAGTACGAGCCAGGGTCCCCACTGCTGCTTCTCTCCCAGTGGGACCCTAAAGGAGTGGGGTTTGGACTCCTGGCAGGTCTCCAAACCAGGGCATCTGCTGTGGGCCTGAGGCGAGGGTGCCCCATGCCAGGCATCCCTGAGGGGCCAAGCAGACTTGAGGGGCACAGCCTGGCATGGGGCGTGGTGACGTGAGGGGCAGGTGTCAGAGCCAGGGGCACCGTCCTCCCATCGGCCAGAATGAGGGCTGAGCTGTGATAGCCCTGGGGCAGCAGCCAGCCTGTGACCCCTCTGGCCCCTGAAGAGCATTTAGGGGGCTTTAGTTTCCAATCTCAAAGCCACTGGGCAGAGGCTGGGTGGAAGCAGCTTGTGCCAGCTTTGGGACACAGTCACAGAGGCCTCAGGTTCCGTGGGCTGGACTGAAACAGGAAGCTGGCGGGAAGACAGTATGGCCGGGCAGATGCCTGAGGACACGGCGCTCACAGCAAAACCAGCCTCACACCGGAGAGAAGATGGAGCCATGTGGGCACCCAAGGGTGAAGGGCCCTGAACAGGAGGGCTGGCTGGGCCTGCGGACCATCCTGAGGGCCCTGCTGGACCAGATGCCCCATGAGCCACATGGTCACAGTCCGGGTGTGGTTCTCGCTCCTCAGGGAGACTGGGCAGGGACCAGCTGCTCGGGAGCCAGGTGGCCGTGCTGACGATGCCCTGGTGGAGGGGATCCCGGGGGCCAGGTGGGGTTTGTGGGGATGGCGAAGGTGGGAGTTGGGGAGGGAGGTTAGCTGGGGCTGAGCAGTGAGCAGAGGCTCCAGCAGCTGAAGGGAAGAGGCTATGAACCAGTAGCATCTGCAGTGCATGAGCCCCCTGAGCCCTGGAAACCAGAGCGGTCACTGGGATGGCCGGGCAGGTGGTGTTGGTGCCAAGAGACTCAGATCACATTCTCGAAGTGAATCAACAATGCCAACATCGAGCTGCCTTCCACGAGAGGGAGCCACAAGCCCCAGAGCTGGGAGTCCCAGCACGGCACGCAGCCCACATGCTTTAGAACAGTCAAGGAATCCTTAACCTCCCAGGTTCCCCATTCTGTGGAAGAGCATGTGGGGCTCTTCCTGGGCTCTGCCAAGGTGGCAGCTGGGAGCCCTGGACATGGAGCCCGGGCCCTTCCCCCAGACCAGCACCAGAGCCCTAGGTGCCTCCACCACAGGCCTCTGGGGGGTCTGATGGCTCAGAGAAAGGACTGGGATGCAGATGTAGAGGCCCCCAGGACACAAAGCCCAGGCTCACTCTGGCACCCGTGCCAGTCTTGCTGGGTTCTTAAGGAAAGAGTCCACTGTGAAAGACGGTAGAGAGACCTAACCTGAGAAGACGACCTGGAGGGAACCAGGACATGCAGGATGAAGAAAGGATGAGGCCCGGCGTCCAGGGACACATCGTGGGACAAAGACGTGTGTGATGAAGAAAGGATGAGGCCCGGCGTCCAGGGACACATCATGGGACAAAGACGTGTGTGGTGAAGAAAGGACGAGGCCCGGCGTCCAGGGACACATCGCGGGACACACACGTGTGTGGTGGAGAAAGGACGAGGCCCGGCGTCCAGGGACACATCGCGGGACAAACACGTGTGTGGTGAAGAAAGGACGAGGCCCGGCATCCAGGGACACATCATGGGACAAAGACGTGTGTGATGAAGAAAGGACGAGGCCTGGCATCCAGGGACACATCGCGGGACAAAGACATGTGTGATGAAGAAAGGACGAGGCCCGGCGTCCAGGGACACATCGCGGGACACAGACGTGTGTGATGGAGAAAGGACGAGGCCCGGCATCCAGGGACACATCGCAGGACAAACACGTGTGTGATGAAGAAAGGACAAGGCCCGGCGTCCAGGGACACATTACGGGACACACACGTGTGTGATGAAGAAAGGACGAGGCCCGGCGTCCAGGGACACATCAAGGGACACACACGTGTGTGATGGAGAAGGGACGAGGCCCGGCATCCAGGGACACATCACGGGACACACACGTGTGTGATGGAGAAAGGACGAGGCCCAGCGTCCAGGGACACATCATGGGACAGAGACGTGTGTGATGGAGAAAGGACGAGGCCCGGCATCCAGGGACACATCACCGGACAGAGACGTGTGTGATGGAGAAAGGACGAGGCCCGGCGTCCAGGGACACATTGCAGGACACACACGTGTGTGGTGGAGAAAGGACGAGGTCCGGCGTCCAGGGACACATCGCGGGACAGAGACGTGTGTGGTGAAGAAAGGACGAGGCCCGGCGTCCAGGGACACGTCACAGGACACACACGTGTGTGATGGAGAAAGGACGAGGCCCGGCGTCCAGGGACACATCACGGGACACACACGTGTGTGGTGGAGAAGGGACGAGGCCTGGCATCCAGGGACACATTACGCAACACATGTGTGGTGGAGAAAGGACGAGGCCCGGCGTCCAGGGAAACATCACGGGACACACACGTGTGGTGGAGAAAGGACGAGGCCCGGCGTCCAGGGACACATCACGGGACAGAGATGTGTGTGGTGGAGAAGGGACGAGGCCCGGCGTCCAGGGACACATCATGGGACACACACGTGTGTGATGGAGAAGGGATGAGGCCCGGCATCCAGGGACACATCACGGGACACACACGTGTGTGGTGGAGAAAGGACCAGGCCCGGCGTCCAGGGACACATCATGGGACAGAGATGTGTGTGGTGGAGAAGGGACGAGGCCCGGCGTCCAGGGACACATTACGGGACACACACGTGTGTGGTGGAGAAGGGACGAGGCCCGGCATCCAGGGACACATCGCGGGACACACATGTGTGTGATGGAGAAGGGACGAGGCCCTGCGTCCAGGGACACATCATGGGACAAAGACGTGTGTGGTGGAGAAAGGACGAGGCATCGGAGGCACAGTGCAGGGACTGCAGTCAACAATAACTTAATCATACATTTAAAAATAACAGTGTAATGCGATGGCTTGTAACATAAAGGATAAATGCTGAGGGGATGGACACCCCATTTTTCGTGACGTGACTGTTACACATTGCACGCCTGTATCAAAACATCTCAGGCACACCATAAATATGTACACATACTATGAACCTACAAACCTTAAAATTAAAAAGTGCCTTAGAAAAGAAAGACAGAAGCAGCTGTCATCAGGATCCTCGGAGACCAGCGAAAGCAGCACCAAAGGGAAATCAGTCACTGGAGAAACGAAAGTTCAGGCATGAAAAACGGCCCCATGATGAAAAGCATGAGAGCAAGCCCTACAAATCAGCAGAAGGGTTTGACGTTAAAGCTGAAGAGGTCTTTCCACGAGTAAAGAAAAAAGAGGTGGAAATAACGAAGTCAAGAAAATGGGCAGAGCCCAAGGTCAGAGCTGCAGGAAGATGGGAGGGAGGGAGTTGGCTGGGGAAGGCCAAGCTGGCTTCCCAGAGCCGAGGGCATGAGATTCTGGGTTGGAAGTTCCTGCTGGGATCTCTGTGAAACTCCACACCCTTGGGGACAAGGAGAAGGTCCTAAATGCTCCCAGACAGGATGGATGGGCTTCGCGGAAAGGATCAAGAGCAGGTGCCTGGAAGCAGGAGGCCAGGAGGGAACGCACAAGTGCCTTTCAACTGGGAGTTCACGCACACCCAGGGGCTGAGTTGTTCTTCCTTCAGGAGCCCCTGCAGGGCTTCTCCACCAGAGCCAGCCACAGAAACGGTTGGGTGGGGATGGGAGCCCTTTGAGGAGGTGGGGGGAGAGAAGAGACCCAGCACCCACGACAGAGCATCCTCAGATGGAGGTTGGGAGAGGCCCCGGAGAGGCTGGGATAGAGACCACAGGAACCAGGGCCTAGGAGGTGCGTTCAACTGAGAGACTTGGGCTACATCAGTGGTGGTGTGAGTGAGCACCTGGGAAACTAAGTCAGCAAAGATGCCAGCAACCCAGGCCACCAGAGCTGCTCAGGAGGAGGGAAGGGTTCTGGTGACAGGAGCCCTGCAGGTTGAGCTGAGGGTGGTCACAACACAGCCAGATGAGTGAGGTGGGGCCGGAGCGTGCATGGGCACAAGGTGAGGTGGGCACAGGGCAAGGTGGGGCCGGAGCACGCATGGGCATAAGGTGAGGTGGGCACAGGGTGAGGTGGGCACAGGGCATGGTGGGCACAGGGTAAGGCAGGTGCAGGGCAAGGTGGGCACAGGGTGAGGCAGGTGCAGGGCAAGGCGGGCACAGGGCAAGGCAGGTACAGGGCGAGGTGGGCACAGGGCGTGGACACAGGGTGAGGTGGGTGCAGGCCGAGGTGGGGCCAGAGTGTGCATGGGCACAAGGTGAAGTGGGTACAAGGTGAGGTGGGTGCGGGGCGAGGTGGGCCCAGGGCATGGGCACAGGGTGAGGTGGGTGCAGGCCGAGGTGGGGCCAGAGTGTGCATGGGCACAAGGCGAGGTGGGCGCAGGGCGAGGCAGGTGCAGGGTGAGGTGGGGCTGGAGTGTGCACAGGCACAAGGGGAGGTAGGTGCAGGGTGAGGGGGGTCAGAGTGTGCATGGGCACAAGGCGAGGTGGGCACAAGGCGAGGTGGGTGCAGGGCAAGGCAGGTGCAGGGCAAGGCGGGTGAAGATGCGGCATCCACAGACCTCAAGGCAGTGTCTAGAGCTGGGGGAACCCAGCAATGACCCATTACATAAGCGTGTGACTTAGCAAGACAGAGGAAAATGCTCAAACCGCCGGTGAGAAGGGCCCAAAGCAGTCTCTCAAGGGAGCAGGAAATTGTGGGGGGGGAAGGCCGGTTTTGGGGACAGCGGCGGGTTTCGGTGGAGGCTTGCATACTGTGTGACTCTCAGGCCTGGCACATGAACGTCGACTCTTCTTGCCCGTTGCATTCATTTCTCAGGGCTCACAGTTGCCACCCAGGCTTGCTTTGCTTCCTGGCTGCTTGGAGGGCCCACCCATCCCTTCACTTCCCGCGTTTCCTTCTCTGTGTAGGTGCCCCGTGCGGGCGGCGGGTGGAGGGATCCCCCACACTGAACATGTCCTTGCGGTGGGGCTAGTTACGCTCTTCGTAATTGTTTAGGAGCTGATTCCTGTCGTCCTAGTCTGTGTTTTCCATTCACCGCAAGCCCTTGGGTCTCTTTTCCTCCCCCTCTCAGTCAGATACATTGAGCTTTGTTGAACTAAAGGTGCACATTCTGCTTTTGTCCTCATGGGGATGCCTTTGAGATGAGACCTTCTCAGACTGGTCCGCAGCGACGCTGCCGCAGGGGGCCTCTGTCCTCTGGCCGTCCCCGCATGGGCCACATGCTGACTGGGTCTGGAGGCTTCATCCCAGATGACACAGATTCTTGTCTTGGCTCCTGACGTTGTGTCCCCTAACCACTCGTTCCTCCTCCAAGTGTCCTCGCCGTGGTGTGCTGTGGTTTGCTGTGGCCTCGCTGTGAATCCTGGGTGCCCCTGCGAGTAGGAGAATGTTGCTGCATCTTCGTGCGTGGACGGCAGCCATGCTGCACAGAGAGCTCCAGGCTGAGGCCTGTCCCGTGTGTGCAGGCCGCGGGGTCTGGCTGCTGAGCCGGGCGGGTCTGGGTCTGCTCCTCCCTTGTGGCTGTGCTCTTGCTCTCCTGGGAGCTGTTGCAATGTTTTCTTTTCTTTTCTTTTTTTTTTTGAGACAAAGTCTCACTCTGTCACTCAGGTTGGAATGCAGCGGTGTGATCTCGGCTCACTACAACCTACACCTCCCAGGTTCAAGCAATTCTCCTGCTGCAGGCGCTCAAGTGGCTGGGATTACAGGCGCGAGCCACCGTGCCCCGCTAACTTTGTATTCTTAGTGGGTGCAGCGTTTCGCCATGTTGGCCAGGCTGGTCTCCGATGCCTGACCTCAGGTGATCCCCCCGCCTTGGCCTCCCAAAGTGCTGAATTACAGGCCCGAGCCCCTGCGCCCGGCCTGTCACAGTGTTTACTTTCTGGTGGTCTTGAGTTTTACGGCCACGTGTCCTCTGGTTTCCCTGCTGGGGGCTCTGTGAGTTCTTCCCAGCTGAGGCCTGTGGACTTTGGTTCCGGATGCTTCTGTGTCTGCCGCTGCACTGGCGTGCCCCTCTCCATTCTTGCTTTTCTCTCTGGACCATCCATGCATGGCCCTTCACGGCCACTCTCCAGGCTCTCGGTTTCTCACTGGGCTCCGTCCGGGTGGCGGGAGGGGGCCCTGGAGCTTCCTGGCTGCGGCTCTGTGCTCAGCCCCTTCCTCCCGTGCATTTGCACCTCCCCAGGTCTCTCCTTTCCTCCGTTTGTTAGAACCGCGCTTTCTTCTCCCATCTTGCCTCTGCTTTCCTGGCTGCGGCTCCTGCGCTCTGGTCCCCGTGGGTGATGGCTCTGATTGGCCCATGTGGGGCAGGGCAGGGCTGGCGAGCAGAAGGGAGGGCAGGCAGGCAGGGCCAGCTCCTGGGTGAAGAGTTTATCTCTGAAGGGAGCACCCTGGGAGGGAGCACTCTCACCCTGAGTCCTCCCCAGCCTGGGGGTTTGCACAAGAGGAGGAGGTGGGTGCTGGAGCTGGTGGCACAGCTTCTCACACCTCTGGATCTTGCCCCTCAGGCTGTAGCCCAACCTCCTGCTGTCGCCCCAGGCAGGGCTGTCCCATGGTATCTTGGGAGAGCAGAGGCAGCACAGGAAAGGGATTTCTGCCACCTGTTCTTTCCCTGTGCCCCTGAGCCCTGCCCTGGGCTGTGGCTCCCAATCTCCTCCACTCCCTAACCCCAGACAGCCCAAGACTCCTGGAGATCCCTCGGCTTTTCTGGGGATCCTGTCCTCCGGTCCCCCTCCCTCCAGGTGGCTGACACCTACTGTCCTGTTCCCTGAATGACACTGGTGCAGGATGCAGACAGAAGTGGCTTGGGAGACATGGGTTCAAGTGGTGGGAGGCAGTTGGCTGAACACCAGGCTGAGCAGGGTCTGAAAATTAGGGGAATAAAAGTCCCAGGAGAAGACGAGGTGGCAAACAGGAAGGGCAGCTGACTCACCAGCCTGGAGCAGGGGAATTCTCACCAGTTCCCTGAAACAGAGCTTCTCAGCTCCAGGGCTGGACGGGCAGCTTCCCAGAGGCCACTCCAGGCCAGGTCATCAGAGGCGCCTGCTCCAGCTCCCACCCTGTGCTGTGCCCAGTGGCAGCTGAGCAGGGCCTCACAGAAACAGCTGTGAGAACAGCCTTGCGTGTCTGGATGCCCCAAGCTGCTAGGCAGACTCGCTGGGCCACGCTGCTCTGCTGTGGTTTCTGGAAAAGCATGCACAGATTCCTGAGAAGTCCCTAGGAACCGAAGTGTCCAGCACTTGAAATTTGGCAAGTGGGGAGACGCTCCTCCGCTGCAGTCTGCTGTCCTAAAGGAAGGCCCAGAAGCCCTCTCAGCTGGGGCTCCACACACGTTCCTGTGAGGGACCCTTTGGGAGAGGATTGAGCCAGGGGGCCGGGGGTGAAATGAAAGGGACGAGGGTCCCTTCCTCCAGCTCCCTACACATCAGTGATGCTGTGTGGCTCTAAGGGGCTCCTGGTACGAGGATTAGGGGACCATGGGTCTTTCAGAAATTCAGGCTCAAAGCAAAAGTAGAAAACCCCAGATGGTGACACAGGACCACAACTCAGGGGGCTCTGGGAACACAAAGGGGGATACAGGGAATACCAGCCCAGGAGGGTGAGCAGAGGCAACGGACAGCGGGGCCCTGCAGCCCAGGAGCTGGGGGGTCCCAGCCCCCATGACAAGGCAGCAACCCAGAGAGAGAGGCCTGGGTCTTGGGCCTGTCCTGGGGGGGACAGTGCAGGGGATGCCCTCCTGCCCTCTGGGCCTGGCACCCCATCCTTGGGGGAGGAATGGGGGCTGGCAGGGACAATGTGCAGGAGTGGCAGGCTGGGAGGGGGCATCCTACAGCCACCTCTGTCCATGACTTTAGAGGTGATGGGGGTGGGGAACTGAGCCCCCACACCATGGCTGGGGTCTGTGTCTCTGGGGGGACTGAGACGGGTGGCCCTGGCCCCACCCTGGCACCCACCGGCTGCCATGGAGAGAGCTCTGTGATGCCCGAGCTTGCTCCTGGCTCTGTTCTGGGCAGTGTCCCACAAGCCCCACAGAACACACTTGGCCTCATCTCCTGGCCTGACATTTTCTGGTGCCACTTTGGCCTTTCTGCTACTAAAAATCCACGTTTTACAGTCTGCTGTAGCTTCTGGGCCTGCTGTTCAGAACTCCTTTGAAGTGGCTTTCATTTCAGGAGTTCATCAGATGTAATCAATAAAGATAAGGGCAGAGGTTTCACCGCGAGGAAGGGCGCTGGGCACAGCGGGAGGCAGCCCAGCTCCCCACGCACCCGCCTGACCACCCTCTCCCCAACCCCCACCAGCGTCTCCCACCCATCCATAG